ACCCAACATCCATTAATGTGTTAGTGTCATGTAAGTGTGATATAGCCATATAGGAATAAAAATTAATGAATATTGATACACAACATAGAAGCAGCTCAAAAATTACACTGAACTAAAGAAGCCAGGCACAAAATCGTAACATAGTTGTACATGAAGTTTACAAGGCAGAACAAATGTAGTTATATAATTCAGGCTGATGGTTATCCCTGAGAGTATTAACTATATGAGGGGAACTTCTAGAGTAATGGAAATGTTCTGGAACTTGATCTAGGTGATGATTACACACTAGTATATGAAAATATGAAACTTCCTTAGCTATACACTTAATATCTGTGTATTTTAAGTTATACCTCAATTTATTAAAAAATTGTTGGTTTCTATGTTACTGTTATATATCTAATAGTTTCATATTAAATTCACATACCAGAGGCAGCAATTTTGAACTTTTTGTTCATTTAAGCCTTAGATAAAAGAAGTTGTGTTTGTAAGTATCATATAGAAGGCTTGGAGCAGCCCCAGAAATAAAGTCATATGTTTCATTCAGACCTATTGTTTCTCTTATGTGTCTCAGAGTCAGTATCTGTCCTCAACTCCACTAATAAAATAGCTTAATTTCTTGTAAGTGATACCTCAGTTGTCAAACTCAATTAGTTTCAAATTCGTGTTTGGACACTGAAAAATTGGAGAACTTAACATATTTTTAGGAAAACCAAATGACTGGTTCTGAGGCCCAAAAATTACACTTATAAATTCATTTTTCTAGGACTTTAACAAATTTTGTAATGATTTGTTTCTTTAACTCTATTGTTATTCTCACAGTTTTCCTCTTATCTTTACTGCTTCTATCATTAACTTTCTTTGGAGCCATGGTTATGATATTTTACACAAATGAAGCACCAAAAAAAGCAAAGAGGGGCTGGGGATTTAGCTCAGTGGTGCTGTCACCTGCCTCTCAAGTGCAAGGTCCCAAGTTCTATCACCGATCCAAAAAAAAAGCACAATGACAAATGTTTTAATGCTCTAACACAAGCACGATATCTTGTCTGGGCGAGAGCAGCACTTAGACTGAAGTGTGACCACTTTGTGTCCCTGGTGAGACATGACATGTGACTCACCTCAGCCCACATAAATTTTTTCAAGTAGGATTTTCAGCTTAACTATCTAGCAAAGTTATGAACACTGAGCAGATTTATTTTGAACTTTGCTGTTTGAGTAGTGGAAAGTTTTGAGCTTGGAGCCATTGGACCACCAAGGCATCACTCTATTTAGACTCTTAACAGGGAGTCTTTTTCTTTTCCCTTGTTCTTTTCCATGATTCAGACTAGTCATGCATTCTAGTTGAATTCTTCTGCTAAGCTGGTACAGTCAGCCCAGGCTTATTGAGAATATATTATGTGCAAGCCTACATATACAGAGAGATAAATATAGCCCCTGCCTTCAGAAGTTGTTGAGGCAAAGAAATAAAGGACAACAATAATATAATAATAGGGCTGGGGATTTAGCTCAGTGGCACAGCGCCTGCCTGGCAAACCAGATCCTGAGTTTGATCCCGGTACCAAAAAAAAAGTAATATAATAATAATTAGAAACATTTTGAATACTGATGTTATACTAAGCATGATCCCAACACTCTTTATGAGTTAGCTCATTTAATCAGGACAACTCTAAGAGGCAATGTAAGATATTAGCATAAGACTGATATCTTTTGTATGAAGGAGAAAGGTGAAGAAGAGCCTCTTTTATCTCAAGCAATTCAACACTGACCTGACTTGCAATCCCCACTTTAGCCAAGTTAAGACTGAACTTGTTCTTCTTAAATGATAGTTTAGGGATAGTGTTTCATGCTCTTTGAAGAATCTGATCTTATACTCTCTCTTTTCACACAATATTCTTTAAAAAAATTTGAGTAAAAAATTGACTGAATAATTTTTTCATTGTATAAATTGGACCTGTGTAAACTGGCACTGGTAGTAACTGCCCATCAAACTAACCTCCACATTCAGTTTTTATATAGTTCCTCTTTTCAACTCCTGTTAAATTTACTAATGAGGAACCCGAGGCTTGGGCAAGTTGAGTAATATGCTGTATTTTCTGTTGGTATATGACAGGTTTGCACAAGCTTAGTAACGTAAAACAACATGCATTTATTATCTCACAATTTCCATAGGCCATGAGTCTGGGCACAACTTAGTTGGGTCCTCTGCTCAGTTTTAATAGTGTTGCTCTCTAGGTATCAGCTGGGCTATATTCTTTTTTTTTTTTTTTTTTTTTTGGTACCGGGATCAATCTCAGGACCTTACTGCAAGGGTGTGCCACCACTGAGCTAAATCCCCGGCCCAGGGCTATATTCTTATCTGGAAGTTTAAGATTCCTTCCAAGCTTACAAGGTTGTTGGTAGAAGTTAGTCTCTTATATCTGCATAGTGAATGTCTTGTTTTCTTAACAGCTTTTGGCCTGAGCCTGCCACTTGCACAAGTCTTCTCAAAGCAATGTTTTCTTTAAGCAAAGCAGATATTAAAATCATTAAGTTGTACTACCTTTCAAAAGCATAAAAAGTTAAATACCCAAAAGAAATTTTAGAAATATTCCAAATATCTATTTGTGAATAATTTAACAGTGTCACTAAAGTAAGTATAGAATACATAAGTACCTAAAAATGCACACATGTAAATAATGTTAAGAAATAAAAATGAGAATATAAAGTAGTACATACCCTTTTTCTCTTGTATAATACATATATCAAAATATGATGTAAAATATTTAAGTTTTCTAGATTTTTCATAAGTTTAGTTGTCATTTTTAAAGTATAGTAATTCTTTTTTTTTTTTTTGGTACCAGGAATCAAACTCAGGTCCTTGCGCTTGAGCAGCAGGCGGTGAAACCACTGAGCTAAGTCCCCGGCCCCAAGTATAGTAATTCTATACAAACCTTACCATACAAAATATCAGATGGTAAATGTCAAATATTTGTATTGACATTAAGTACTACAGAAGTTTAGAGTGGGAAAGATTAATGTGGACTATAATCTCCCTTTAGGTGTAAAGTAAAATTAAATTTTTATGATGTAGTTTATTAGATATTTTGCCTAGGACTAGCTCATATTCTATAGCTTGTCATCAAGTTGATATACAGGATTGCATGTCCTCTGAAGAGAACCATTTTCTACCTAGATATGACTCATTCTCGTTTAATGGAAATATTTTAGCATTGTTTTAGGAACTCGATTAAAGTCTTTAGAATACTGTAAAAGCCCTCTTTATCATACAGTAGGAAACAGTGTATTGTGCATCTCTATTAGTTGACACTTTTTCACCCCCATCAGTTTACCGTTTTCAGCTATTGCAAAGTAAACTAATTTCCCCCACCCCCTTCTGCCAGGGATCTCAGTATTCACTCATTCTGTGTTTCAACCATCTCAACTGTTTATATATTAGTTTTATCTAAAAAAAACATTGTGGTAGACTGAATAGTGCCGCTGCTCCCCCCCCCATATGCCTATGTCTTAATTCCTAAAACCTGTGAACATCACATTGTGTGGTGCAGTAGACTTTGTAAAGCAAAGGATTTTGCAGATGTGATTAAGAATCAACATTGTACTCTGGCACTTCTAAAGAAGTAACAGCTGCTGGGCTTAATATATTTTTGGACAACTCATCTTGTTGGTTAAATAATTGGACTATGTAGCCCCCTTTTCTTATACCGAAGATGTCATCTTCAGGGAAGCGTTAGGCTTTTAGAAGGCTCTGATCATTGGCTGGATTCATTTTTAGCATTTTCAGAAGTGTATCCCCCCATCAGTCTGGTTTGATTTAGATTCTACATTAATGTCTTTCATTATTATTTTGTTATTCCCAAGTATCCACTTTCATGAGCAAGTTGCTTATCTATTATTGCACACTTAACATTGTTTTATACTAGAATATTTCCAGTTAGGCAACCTGTAAGTTAGATACCACAGGTTTCTGAAACACTGTAAAGAAAAGCTGTTTATTCTGCTGAATCACTGATATTCAGAGCTAAGTGAAGTATAACAACCCTGTCTCCCAAGGCCAACAGTTCAGCAGATAGATAGTCCATGGCAAAGATCTGTGGTTTTCAGAATGTGGTTCCAGATCAGCATCATCTTAGAACTTGTTAGAAATGAAAATTATCTGACTGCTCCAGACAGAGTTGGACTCTCTTGGGATGAAGCCAGCATTTCATGTTTAACAAACCCTCCAGGTACTTCTGATACTTGTTAAAGTTTGAGAATGATTGATTGAGGCTAAGTTTTGCTCTCTCCCTGGTAGAACAGACTTAATGCTAAGATGTTGGAAAAACACATTCTATTGACCTGTCAGCGGTAATTTGCAACTACTTCCTTTCTGCCCGAGTTCCATCAGACTATTACCACTTGAACAGCTTAATTGAAAAATCATGTATGTTTGTAGCAGAAATTAAATATATTTTTATTTAAATAGCTGCTTTTGATTAAAATTGTGTTTTGTTCAAAGTGGTTTTATCTGTGTTCTGATATTTATAAAAACTTATGAAATTTCCAGCAGTAACATCCTATTCAGTATAAGGTGAAATGTTTTACATCAAATCTCACTCTGTTTAATGGCCAAGGAGTATTTAAAGTGGCTGAATTGATTCTTAGCTCAGAATATAAAAGTTAACATTTTTAGATATTAAAATTCAATGCTTTTGCCTCTTCTCAAAGTTGATTTTATGTAACATTCATTATTTGCAACTCCTAAAATCACCAAAGATCTTGCTTAAGGACCATGTAGCAACCCTATATTTTTTTGTCCTTATATGGACTTACTGAAGTATAGGTTGTCAAAAATGGTTGTAGCTTTGTGACACATCTGTTTAGCTATGGAAATGCTGTTGTTTAACCTTAAGAGACTGAAAAAGAGTTTTTTTAATGAACATATATCCTTAAGTTCTGAAAAATCAAAAGAAAGAACTTGTTTTATTGTGTTTTTATTTGACATGTGATATTGTGGTTCTTTTTAGATAACCAATAGAAAAAGCACTCTCCAGTCTTCATCTGTGGAACTGGATAGTTCCTACTTGAATGTAGCCAAACCACAAACCTACTATCAAACCAAGCAAAGGCCCAAGCCTGCAAACTGGGACTCAGCTTCAGAATCCTTTATGGAGTCTAGGAATAATTCTTTGAAACCAACAACCCTTTCTCATCCCAAGGAAGGTCTAGAGAGGCTGCCATCAGAGGTAAGAACATGTAATTATGAATCTCCAAGGAGAAAACCAATGGATGCAGCCCCAACAGAAACAGCTCCACCAGAAGAATTGAAGATGAAGGAATGGCCACATCTTAAGCTTACTCCATCTAGACGATGTTGTGGTCACAGACTTTCTGAAAATGAAGATTATGTTCATAAGATCCAACCTACAAACATGACCCTTCAATATTCTAAGACACATCCAAAATCATGCAGTTATTGTGGGCTTTCTTGGGTATCTATCCTGCATGGTAAAGAAACACTGCAACCCAGTGAAACTGAAGTCAAAAAGCAACTCTCAGAAGATAGAAGGCAACAACTGGTGCTTCAGAAAATGGAGCTAGAAATTGAAAAGGAGCGCCTTCAGCATCTGCTGGCTCAGCAGGAGACAAAGCTTCTACTGAAACAGCAGCAGCTTCGTCAGTCTCGATTGGATTACAGTTGGTGAGTCCTGCCTGTTCTTTCAGCAGTGTCTGTAAATTGGAGTATAAGTTACCTGAAATATTACTGTAAAAGATTTTTGGGAAAGTTTCCTCTGGTCTTGGCTTGCTCAAGTTGCATACCAGCAATGACTACTAAGTAAATTCCTGTCTTCTTTGACCTAAGAGATTACCTTGTCTTCCAAAATGTTAGATTAGAATATCTACTTCTTAGTAGTCAGGTGTAACTTGTGCTTGATTTCAAAAATAATGTTTTAAAATTATATTACCATTACACAAAATCCTTTGTTTTTCAATGTCATTGTAGAGAATGTTAAGCAGTAAGTAAAAAACTTGAGTTCAGAGTGTGGAATCAGACTGAGAAGAAGTGTTATTAGCTATATCATTCCATTATTTATGTCTAGCTGACATAATATAAAATTTAACAAATGAAGGAAATCTTCTAAATTTAACCTTTTCATGAAGTACAACCTGTTTAATTACCAATTCTCATAGACTTGACCACATTTCTGTTGTCCTTTCTGTAACAATTCTTTTCTAAGATCAGTGTTTCAAAAGCTAAATTGCTTAGCTTTAAATTGCTTTACCTCAAATTATCCAGCATAGTTTTGCATGCAGTCATAAAGACTGCTATTTTTTTAAATTGCTAATAAATCAGACATAATTGTATTTAAAACAAAATATGGCATGTATAACATTTAAAATAATAAATTGCTAGTTTTGAATAGAAAGTGCTTATATGAGGTCTAATCAGTTATTCAGTGAATGTTTAAATTTTAAAAATTTATTACACTAAAAGACACATTGCCATTAATCTCCCTCAAAATATCCCCCTTTACCTCAAACACTATTCCATAATTCTTACCACTTTCTGAAGCAGTTCTGGAGGTCTTATTTCATGAGTTCCTTTACAGGGTATGATCAAGAATTCAGTGAATGCTACTGCCAGGTGCCATCCAATGGAAAAGCAGGCCTGTAAAAGCATTACAATGTGTCTTTATTCCTCTTATTCACTATATCTAGATCTGTGTAACTCCTGATTCTTCCCCAAAGTCAAAATGACTATAAAAGGTAAACATTTTGAATTGATCCATACATTGAGGCAGCCATGACAGCACAACTAGAGACATGGAAGAGGATTTCCAGAACTACTACAATGTCTTAAACAATGTGAATTAAACATTCATCATATTATTCAATAACATCTTGTATATCCTTCTTGTTTCCTCCTTGGTCAAACTTACTGTTTTCCCTTTTTATATGTTCTTACTAGAAGCATACATCCCACATGAGCACAATAGCAGTATTAACTTATTTTCTGTTGCTTCTTAGAGTTATTTTTCTTTCACTTAAAGATTCTGCCTAATATTTTTTAAATTCTACTTTCTTTGAAAGTTCCATCACGACATTTTCCCCCCATGTCATGCCTACTTTTTTTTGGAATTCTGAGTGATCTTTCTCCTTCTCTTGCTTCATGAGCAGAGAGTTCTGTTCATTGTTAATACCTGGAGGCTTTTAAAGTACATGAAAATGAAGCCTCTACAAGATTGTCAGCAGAAGCTAAGCAGTTGCCTCATTCTTATGACCCCAAACTCTAACCCTCCATTTAGAGTAGACTTTCTTGAGAACTTTATTTAAGAAATATTTATTCAATACCTATTATATGTGAGGAATAGTCATAAGTGACTGGGATAAAAAAAAATGAATCAAATGTGTTTTCTTTGAAGAGTGTACAGTCTTGCAGGAAACAGTAAATAATTTTAGAGTAGGCATCATATTATTTTGTGTACCATTCCATATTCAAATAACTGCATGATCATAGGCCTGTTTGAAATCTCATTTTGAAATAATTGTAGGCTCACAGGAAGCTACAAAAATAGTACAGAGGTTCTATGTACCATTTATGCGGATTCCCCCATTGTCTAAATTATACATAACTATAATATCAAAACTAGTAAATGAACATTGATACAATATGTGTGTATAGTTATATGCCATTTTATCACATGTAGATCTGTGAAGCCACCACAATGAAAATACAGAATTATTTTTGTCACCACAAAGATATTCCTCCTCTGTTGTAGTCCTACTCATTTCCTTCTGCCCTCACTATACATAACCCATAGGGACCACTAATCTTTTGGCCTCTTCTATAATTTTGTCATTTTGAGAATGTTGTATCAGTGACATTACATAAACTTTTGATATTAGCTTTTTTTCACTCAGTTAATTCTCTTGAGATCTGTCCAGGTTCTTGCAAATACTAGACCATTTTATAGCTGATTAGCATTCCATGATATGAATATATCATAATTTAACCACTCACCTGTTAAAGAAAAATTTGGTTATATCCAATTTTTGTGTCTTATGATCAGAGCTGCTCTGTACATTTTTGTATAAGTTTTGTATGGTCTAAGGTTTTCATTTCTAAAGATGAAAGCTAAGAATGATTGCTAAATCATTTGAGTGTATATTTAGCTTCTTTAAACTAAATACATATTTAGCTTCTACTATGTTTAGGCCATAATACATTCTTACTGGTAATGTATGAAAAATCTAGTTTCTCCATATCATATCTATCATTTGATATTCTAATTTTTATTTTGCTTCTAATATATGTATGGTAATATTTTATTATGGCATTAATTTTAATTTTCCTAATGGCTACAGTGATATTTAATACCTTGTCATGGGTTTATTTACTGTCCTTTCATCCTTTTCAGTAAATAGGCTCTTCAATATCTTTTGCCCATATTTTAATGGGAGTAATGGGGTATTGTGTTGATTTTTGAGAATTCTTTATATCTTCTAGAGATATCTTATCAGATAAATGGATTGCAATTACTTTCTCCCAGTCTATAGTTTATCCTTTCAGTCTCTTAACAGGATCTTTCATAGATAGTAATTTTTTTTTCAGATCTACAGATTGTAACAGGCCTTGTACATGGTAGGCAAATGCTCTATCACTGAGCTACAGTTTCCATCCCTTTTTAAAATTTTTATTTTGCTACAAGGTCTTAGTAAATTACCCAGACTAGTTTCAAACTTGCAATCCTCCTGCTTCAGCCTCTGAGTAGCCAGGATTACAGGCCTGTACCACCATACCCAGCTAAAAGCTTTTAATATTAATGAAGTACAATTTATTGACTTTTTTCTATTATGGACCGAATCAAACTTTTATCATGAATAGGTATTTAATTTTGTCAAATGTCTTTTACAATCATGTGATTTTTCTTATTAAGCTTTCTAGAATAGTGCATTACATTGTTTTGAATATTGAACCAGCCTTGCATTCCTAAAATGAGCCCCACTTAGTAACAGTATATAATTATTTTCATATTTTAAAGATATTTGTGTCAGTATTGATGAGTGACATTAGTCTATTTTCTTTTTTGTATATCTTTGTCCAGTTTTAGTATCAAGGTTATATTGACCTCATTATGTGAGTTGACAAGTATTATTTTTTTAAATATTTGGTAGGATTCTGCAGTGAAACTAGAGATTTCTTTTTTGAATTTAAAATTACAGATTCAATTTCCTTAACACTTACAGGGCTAATCAAATTATTTCTTTGATAGTGAGTTGTAGAAGCTTGTTCTTTTTAAGAAATCAATTCATTTTATCTGTCATTAAATTCATGTGTTTGGGCTTGGTAAGAATGAGATTTTTATTTCATTTCTTTTCATTATTATCATTCTGTTTTCAACTTGGTTCTTTATTGTTTCCTTTTTTTTTTTTTTTTTTGGTACTGGGGATCGAACTCGGGTCCTTATGCTTGCGAGGCAGGCAGCAGAACCACTGAGCTAAATCCCTGGCCCCTATTTCCTTCTTTTTGTTTGCTTTTGCTTTTGATTTATCTTGCTCTTCTACAAAATTTGTTAAGGTAGGCACTTAGATGACTGATTTGAGACATTTTTCTTTTCTACAAAAGGATTTAGTGCTATGAATTTTCCTCCAAAATATGATCCAGCTGTTCCCCACAAATTTTGATTATGTTGTCTTTTCTTGTTCATTCAATTTAGTGTATTTCAAAAAATTTACATGGTATTTCAGTTTCATAGTTTTCTATGCTTCAGTTTCCAATTGTTTCAAGATTTTCCTGTTTTGTTTCTGTTAGTAACTCTAATTTGATAACACTGCTATTTCAGTTCCTTCAAATTCATTATTTTGTCTTAGCACCCAGTACAATATATGTTCTGTATTGACACGTGTTTCATGAATGCTAGAGAGAAATGTGCATTCATTGTTTTGGGGTGGAAAATAATCTATAAATGTCAGTTAAATCCTATTGTATGATAGTGTTTTTGAGCTGTTCTATATCCTTGCTGATTTCCTACTTTGTTGTTCTTTTAATTCTTGAAAGAGGCATTTTGAAAGCTCCAGCTACAATTTTGGGCACATTTACTTTCCTTTCAGTTCTGTCGTTTCCTTTTATATATTATACCTCTGTCATTTGCTGTTCACACATTTTAAATTACCATTTCTTCCTGATGAATTGATCATTTTATCATTATGTAATGTCCTTTTCTGGCCATAGCAAGTTTTTTCTCTCTACAATTTCTTTTATCTAATATTAATAAAGCTATTGCCACTTACATTTGATTAATGCTTGCAAGGTATATGTTCTTCCATCCTTTTAATTTTACTCTTATGTGTTATGATGTCTTTTTTCCCCTGGTACAGAGCCTTTGTACTGACATACATCACGGCCCTTTTTTTATTTTCTTGAGTCAGTCTCACTAAGTTGACCAGTCTAGGCTCAAACCTGCAGTCATCCTACCTCAGCCTCCCAAAATGCTGGGATTGTAGATGTGCATCGCCACTCACATGTAATTTTGAAGTGAATCTCATGGCATTTCATTGAATCATGTTTTTTCCTTCCACTTTGCCAGTTTTTAATCTTTCAGTTGGCATTCAAGACAGATATGTCCCTTTTTTTTTTTCTTTTTGACAGTCTTGCTGTGTGGCCAAGGGTGGCCTGAAATTTGTAATCCTCCTACCTCAG